GCTGGGTGTAGACATACACAGGTGTCAACATCAGTGAAGAACTGACTAGCAAGCAGAAGAAAGAGATACAAGATATACTGTGCCAGTACACAGATGTCTTCACAGATAGACCAAACAAGGCAGACCTTGTGTAACACAAGACTGAGACCATATCCAGGAATCCAGCCAAAGTAAAGTCCTTTACGATGAGAGACCTGACCAAGCAAGAAGTCCTAGTAATGTTAGAAGCTGGAATCAAATTCATCCTACTTTTTACCAGTGTAATCGTGAAGAAGAGAGATGGTTCAAACTGCTTCTGCATAGATTTCCCAAAGCTGAACCTCTAATAAAGTTCAACTCTGAACCTAAAAGCAATCTAGAGGCTATCATGGTGAAACTAGATGAGGCCAAGTTCTTTACCAAGATCGGACTCAGTAAAGTTTATTGGTAGATCCCAATGGAGACAGAACCTAAAGAGAAGACAGTCTTTGTGACACCAGATGGATGCTACCAGTTCAAGAGGATGTCATTTAGGTTAATCAACTCAGCAGTAACATTCACATGCATGATGAGGTAGATGATGCACAAAACTACTAACATCGAGCATTATGTGGACAACATTCTGACCCACAAAGCCAGATGAGAAAACCACTTGAAGAAACTCAGAGAGCTGTGCTGATGAGAGACGGCAGCAGATTTGACTATCAGACCATTTAAGTACTACATCAGTATCAGTTATTCTGTATTGGACTTTGTTGGACATAAGGTGAGCAACTAACAGATAGTCATGGAAGAGGAGAAATTAACCTGCATACAAGATGCACCAACTCCGATGACCAAGCAGCAAGTCAGATCCTTACTGGGATTAACAGGATACTATAGGGAGTTCATCCCAAACTATGCTGAAGTCACTGCATCACTGACCGACCTGACCAAGAAAGGCCTACCCAACAAGGTGAAGTGACAACAACCACAGCAGATGGCATTCTAGAAGTTAAAGAACATATTCGGAAGTTCTCCAATCCTTAGAATGACAGACTTCAACAAACCATTCAGGCCAATGCATAAGACGTTGGAATTGGAGCAGTACTTCTGCAGGAATATGTAGATGGACTGTTTCCCATAATGTACATCAGTAAAAAGATGTTGAGTATTGAGAAGAACAACATTGTGATTGAATGAGAGTGTCTGATCATCATATATGACATCCAGAAATTCCAGAACTACATCTACGTGAAGGAGTTCATCATCCAGATGGACCATCAGCCCCTTGCATACATCCAGAGGTACAAAATTGACAGTGCAAGGATCATGAGGTGGGCATTGTATCTCCTGAACTATCGGTTCTATTTTGAGGCCATCAAAATAGACTTTGTGCATGAAATAAAAACACTCTTTGTACATAGCATAGGTAGGTCTGCTTTATAATGGGAGGATCAACAGAATAAATTACAAAGTCAGTATGAATTTAACTTAAATAAATGAGTTAAAGTAAAGAAATAAGCAGATTGGACACAATGTGTTATACAACTGAATACAACCTTTACCTACACCAAATGAAAAACATAGTTTGCTTACTTGTGCTGGGACACCAGACCATCATATGATACTGTACTCATGAATTTATTAACTGATGTTCTTCTCTCAAGATGTTTTTCCATCAACCAACTCACTTGAAACCTATTGCAGACTGTTTTAATCTTGTTTCTGATTTACTTATAGAGAATGGAGCAATTCACATAACTGGTTATTTTAATTCAACTAAACCTTTAGTAATCATCTGCCCTACTAGTGAAAGATACTGCTGTTGTCTGTTCTTGCACAATATGAAGCATTACAGCAATAACTCCAGTTGGCACAGCAGATGTTATCTCTAAAGAACAACAAAGGAACAAAGGCACCTGAAACGAAGTCAACTAAATTATTTTCTGGACTATGCATTATGCCAAAATTGCACAGACTCGGAGACTCAGAATACAAAAACATTTTCGAAAATTTCTATGTTGAAATAAGAAGAAAGAAAATGTATGGTATGCCTGTACACCACACCAACATAATTACAAATATCAAACATAAAGTGAGTCAATTCACCTACTGCAGTGTTTATAAAATCAATAATTCATCCACAAAATTGTAGTTTTTAGCAGACAATACAAAAGTAATGTCTCACAGCACCTTAAATCCTTCTCATTCATGGATGGCTAATTTGTATGTATCAAGATCTTTTACAATGTTACATTCAAAATTCAATTAAACAATTTTATTATCAATGTATGTCAATAAACCTGCATGAAAGTGTAGTTTGTAGTTCAAGTTTCTATATTATCTAAGCCTTAATTTCAAAAGGAAATACTTAAAAAATTCTCAATCTCATCTGTCACATAATGCATTTGAGCTCTCCCTTTCAAAATTTTCTAACCTTAAAAATAGGCTACCACAGTTTCTAACCAATTCGAAACACAAATAATCCATGTTTATAAGCAAGAATCTGAACTCTGAACTTTCTATCTTCTTGACTTGCTGAGATACTAATAAGTTTGTTAAATCCACCAGATAAGCCCCTCCACTTTCTCTCCCTGAGTTTCAAGATTGTTAATCAATTTTAGCTGGCTGATAGACATCTTAATACACAATAAAAAAGAGCAGATTTTCCTCAATATAAATCTTAAAAGTTGTTGCTTATTATTCCCACAGCCAAAGTTAGCAAAACTGTTAGGCTTGTGTGGATCATATTTTGCCACTGTAAACACTGAAGGAATTTTTAAACTATCTATAGCTTACTTAGAAAGCCTGATAAATAGTACTTTTAGGGCTTTCTATTCTAATCAAATATATAGTTTTGTCTTCTAAAATGCATATTTGAAAGCTACATGAATACTTTTCGGACACCCAGGTTTTGGTGACTCAACAAGGTTTACAGAAGAATAATTTTAATTTTCACTTGAGTGAAAATGCATTTGAGTATGCAATAAGCATTACAAATATTTGTTTTATGTAAACATTTTATTTACTGTTATATATTTTTTGATAAAATTAGCTGAAACGTAAAAATTAGGTACTCCTCAACTTATAACCTAACAAAACTTCAATAAAACAAAAATTTCATGAGCTGAGCATGTGTGTAACATGACACCCCACAATCAAGAGTTCTTTTACATTAGTTTTACCAGAAACAGTTAATGGGTTCCTGCTGTATTTTATTGCTTTTGACATGAGGATTACTGCTCTAGTGGGTACAGCAATAAAACCATAAAGTTAATGAAAGCAGACATGAAAAGGTTCCCATGAGCAGCAAACCAGTTCAGGTGAAATACATTCAAAGTCAAAATGGTCAAGAAAAAAAAAACTCTTTTGAGGTCACCTGGGAGGAAAAGATGTGTCTTGTGACACAGTATGATGAGCTAAAGTGTCAAAGAAACATAAGAAGCACTTGGTAGTAGAAACAACATGATGACTATAAGTTATATATTTGGTTCTAACAAAAGAATCAGGAAAATGAGAATATCTAATAACTGTACATAAAAAAAAAAGTTTCAAGACAAGATAAATCAGAGTATGCAAAGTAAAAAATAACTATGGGTCAATATAAAAAACAAATTGAAATATTTTAATATTTTGCTAGTTTCTAAAAGCATCATCAACAAAACAAGTATCAGGAAAAGGTACAAGAAAATAAGGATTCAAGTAATGAAATGTTTAACATGTCACTAGCACCTTCAGGTGCGACTGAATTTAGTTCAAGATTTAAAGTATAATATACATAAGATAAAAGAGAAATGAGCTACCAACAGAGCCTTCTTCAGGATTAGGACTAGCAGACAATCCTGCTCTACAGACATTGATGATTAAAAGGCCTGAGCATAAGATCTGTCTTCTTCAAAATCATTGGGAAATGGCAGATATTATGCAAATTTAGCATCCAACTGAACATAAATCCTGAGAGGGATACCAGCAGACAATTTATTAATAGCAAACTAAATATACTGATCAATTAAAGAAGCCAACATTCACGATCAAATGCAACATGTCTTCACCACACAATCTCAACATGACCAATTTGACCTTAGAAAATTCATGGAACACACTGAAAAACTGAAAACTGCCTATATCACTGCTTGGGACCAGCAAGAAGGTATCTTTGTACCAAATTTTAGTTGATACACACACATGAATAGTTCATGAAAATAACAAATTGTGCTTTTCTTGGTGAAAAATTGAGCAAAAGACAGAAATTCCAAAATTATGTATATCTCTATTTAGGACCTGAAAAAAGTATCTCTGTATCAAATCTCATCTACCACAAATTGTCAAAAAAAAAACTAAAATTATGCTTTTTGAGACATCTTGACCCCTATAATTACTAAAAATGAGCAAGACAGGAATTGTTATTTGTCAACATGTGTTGCCTGTAGAAAAGTCTCTTTGTACCAAATTCCATGCAAGTTGAAACAAGGCTAAGCAATTGTCCGAAACCCCTAAAATAATGCATTTGTATAATCCCCCCCCCCTAATGCTTGGAAATCTTTAACTTTTTTCAGTAACTCTCTTATTTTTAAATGTCTTATTCTTCTTTGTCATATCCAGGCTTTGTTATTCTTTTATTTCTCCTTCACTGTGCTAATACTTAATAGACTTAAGTTAGGACTTAGTTATAAATAATAGAAACATCAATACATTTTAGGGCCAATCTTACTGGACTGAAGACTCTCTTTACTATTGAATGAAAAATGCAATTGACTGTAATGAGTCTCAACCATTTCTCATAACTGGTTTAGTTGCAGGGGAAATATCCTGACTTGACTGATTTTTTCACACCTTCCTCCAGATGAATCAACCACTTTATTGAAAGGAACTTGTCATTAGAGACTGTATTCAGAGATTATTTAGTAGTTTATTTAGATGACAATCATAAAGAAAATGAAGTTGAAAATTAAGACACAAGGAATTGGATTTTGTCTGGTTTTGACTTCTGTGTGGGTTGTATCTTAAAGGAAATTTTAAAGCTAGTTTTACAGTCTCACCTTATGATTAGCTGCAACCTGAGCCTTCAGGTCTGAGATGTTGTCCTTCAAGTTTCGTGAACCACTACAACCAGGATACTTTGCTGGAGCCATTAGCTGTTCAATCAAGTCTGTAAAATTTATGTAAGACTTAGAATTAAACAAAACAATATTTGTTAAGAAAACAATTCAAAGAAAAAGTGAGCCATAAGATACTGTATTAATCTTTAAACTAATAATATAAATTAACAAAGAACACTCTTGAATTAAACAGCACAACCCCCTTAATAAAGAAGAAATGGTAAAAGTTAGTTTAATAGACCTAAAAACTATGTAATAACTGCAGTTAAGAATGGTTATCAAAGGTATCAGTACAGGTAGAAACAAAATATGACAATTACTCTCAAAAGATGCACTATAAGTCCTGTAACTGTCATTCCTTAGACAAAATCTTCATCTGTATATCAAGTAGGCCACTTATTTTGTTATCAAGTAACAGTTATGAGAATTAGTATATTTCTTAATTTACCAAGTACTTTGGGTATTGTAATTTGCAATTTTACACTTTATACAGGTAAATTGTTTCTATCTCTTTCATTTGATCTCTGTAGTATTTTCTGGCCACTAGTTTATATTCATTACTTCTGTATGGTGTTTCTAATATTTTTGCTGTGGTTCTTGAATCTTTCTATCTAGTGTTTATATTACTGGATCATGGATGTGTTCATCTACAGTTAACTGGTTACTGATATTACCAATTATTTAATAATATTCTTGTTTAATAATCTGAAAATGTTTTTAATGCTTCTATTTAGTATTTACATTACTGGAAGTATTCATATAGAAGTAGGTTGTTTCTGTTATTACCTATTATTTAATAATATATATTTTTTTAATTATCTGAGATATTTTAAAGATACTCCTTGTTTTGTTTTCTAAACAAAAAATTCAAGCAAATAGTTTTTACTTTTTAATTTAGCCATTATTAGATAATGTTCAAAATTCTTTTGTAACTGTCTCTGATTTCCATTTACAACTAACTGTTATATAATTAACTACAAAATGCTAATACAAATATTCAGTAGTAAGTGAACTGCACTATTTTGTTTATTCAAACCTGGTTTGAGTCTACTGATTAATAAACCTTCTGTTATTCGTTTCTTAATGCTTAATGCTCAAATTTGCATGGTCTTGTCAGTGCTCTAGTGATAGAATCTATATAATTCAAATTACATTTAGGACACCTATATTAATATACTATGTTGCAGTAAAATTCTTACATCAGAACAAACCTAGAATAACAAAGTGAAAACATTTCTTTCCAATTTCCACACTGTTGCCTAAATAACAACTGATCTTAGCATTTGACTAGTTTACATTATCAAATATAATCATAATTAGGTATTTTAGGGAAGATAATTAATTTTCAAGCTGAAAGGACAAATGTTTATAAAATTTAACTAAACTGTCAACCTAATGACATTTCATTACATGAAAAACAACAGTTGAATCTAATTCTAAGTATCTTAAATAAAAAAAGAAAACTTATTAAGGAACTGTATTCATTTATATCTTTATATATATAATAAAATGTAAATCCATGAGAGAAAAGAAGAAGAAGAAAAAATTGCAGCCACAAATAAACATCCAACACCAGGGCACAAATCATAAAGTGGGTATCATATATTGTGCCCTGGATTTTAGAGGTACTGGCAGACGTAAGACCCAAATTGCATTGGGGGTATACCGTTTATCCAGTTTAATCTCAACTTTGCCAGCCTTACATGATTAAGAAATAATTTAAAAATTTAGGTGCTCTAGCCCACAATGTCCCACATATTTACCACTTTTTGCTGTCTGCAGCCAGGTGTGGAAAGGTGGTTGTTCACAAGAAAAAAAAAGCAACAAGAAATAATAGAATATATTACATCAATGTGGGAGACATTAAAACTGTCCTTGAAATTAGCATTCCATTCCCCAATATGATATTTGGACATAAATACCAAGATGTTGAGTTATTACTATACTAAGCCCAACCAATATAAGTATAGCTCCCATCTTCCACCCTTCCATGCTACTATCTGGATCTTCGGTGGTTCTAAAGGGATCCACACAGTAGCAGGTTTTATACATGGAACGTGATATAACTACCACTACAGTAATCTACCTATACAAGATATGAAATGTCCAATAACTAATTACAATTATTTCCCCTATAATAAATTTTATAGATTATTTTTTTATAGTGCATATTATAATATTGTTTAAATAAGTATTTTCAAACTTGTATAAATATTTTTTATGTTTATCATGAAATAATTTAAAGTATTTAATTAAACCCTTCTCCTTGAACCCATTAAATATCAATTTATGTACTAATATATTAATATTAGATATTAAGAACTGTACATTACTACAAATTCTACAATACCTAAGGAGCTAAGAGTGTATAATGCTCTGTATAGCATTTGGTGGTACATTACTGTTTGGAGAAAGCAGTCCAAATATTTGAAATATAAAATCATTTCTTTTGTCATAAATATTAATATTACAACAATTATTAATTATCGTAATGTTTAAATATAACTAATGTACTTGTGTATAAATGTCACCTATTGAATTACTTATTCCTGGATTATTAATACTAAACAAATTGTCAATATATCAGTATGATAAGGAAAATAATTCTGGATTTGAAAAATTATTTATGAATTTATTTTTGTAATAACGAACATATAAGTTGGCAACACGGCTCAAATGATTGGCACCCATCAGTATAACTATTATTTGTTTATAAGTATACTTATCAAAATAAATATAACTATTATATACATAAAAACTAAAAATGCCTTTAATGTTATTAGCAGTAAAACTTCTATTTATCTTGGTAGATCTATAAATTCATCTATCAACGAATTTATCACTACTACCACCATAATATCTCCATTCTGAAAACCAATTTGGAGAATAATGTGTAGAATAATTAAGTTTCAAAATATAATCATTTTATAATATTTATGTCCAAACATCATATTAGAAGCTAACTTCAAGGGCAGTTTTGCTGTCTCCCTAACAGATGTAATGTATTCTATAATTTCTTGCTACTTTTTAAATTCTCACATTTGGCTGCAGACAGCAAAAGGTGGTAAAGATATGGAACGTTGTGGGCTAGGAAACCCACATCTGCTCAAAATGTTTTTGTTATTTATTTTTTCTTAATCATGTGATGCCAGCAAAGTTGAGGTTAAACTGGATAGACAGTGTACCCCCAATGCAATTTGGGTCTTACTTCTACCAGTATCTCAAAAAACCAGGGCACATTACATGATGACCCACCTTATGATTTGTACCTTGGTGTTGGATGTTTGTATTATGGCTGTGATTTTTTCTTTCTCTTTCACAAATTTACATATAATTGTATTTCATCTAAAGTTTGGATATGCTGTGAAAGATTCATGCTATCCTTACCTTATGATGTATTTTCTTCTTTAATTTTTTAGCTTTTCAA